GTGGCTGGTGGCTTACCAGAGTCTTTACATGGCTGCTTGTCCTGGCGGTGGCTGCAGTGTCTCCCTCCTCAGCCTTCTGCTTCCCAGAATTCTCCTCTCTCCTTGTCCCACCTACTTCCTGCCTGGCAACCTATTTCCTGCCTGGTCACTGGCCATCAGTGTTTTATTTACATAGAGCAATATCCACAGCACTCAATTTTTAGTAAAAAGGGGGGACCTTTGGGCCCTAGTCCCCCACTGTGAGTGGCTGCTGCCTTGCTTATGACCTTGACCAGATGTCCTCCCTATGCTAACTCCCTGCTTGTTTCCTTCTTACTGAAAGATCACCTGAGGTTCTTTGTTTGTGCATCCTGCATTTGGTGTAAACAGCTTAAATGCAAGAATGTAGAACATTGGGTAGTGAACTTCTGCCCTCCAGGGATCCTCCATTGCGTTGTAAGCCTGTATTTAAGGTTTCCTCCCTCTTTCAATAAACAGCATTCTGCATTCTGCTGTGGCAAATGACTCACTGTCTCTTGTCTGTTATTTTTTAATCCACAGCCCATCATTCAGATTTGGTGAATGGGTGGCAGTAGCACAGGCATTACCGAAACATTAAGCTCCACATTGGGCATTAATATCTTGTATATTGAGTGTGGGTATAGGTCCAGGCAGATATGAGAAAAGTTGTATGGAGGTACATTAAGGATGAATTCTTATCCTTTTCTAAGTGTAGGGTGGATTCACTTCTATAGACTGAACCAGTCTTGGTGAGTAAAGGATCCTTTTATTGTTTTACAAATCACACCTTTAACAAGTCAATTCCATATACAAATGTCTTTGTTCTAAGCCCCCAAGAGAGATAATGCCAAATGCAATTCTCCTTTTTACCATCGGTTTTTTGGAGGGGCATTGGATTTTGTTACTAGTTTTCATAGGCTTTGATGCCCTAGAAAAACTCTCAGCTAAAACTTCAAACAGAAGGTATGGAGAGGGGGGTAACAAACACAAAAGGCAGATCAAGGCTAGATGATAACCCTCCAGTGTTAAACCACATATAACTTGTGAGAATTCTACCTTCAGGTTTCATGAGTCCAAGGTCCATCTGTTCTACAGAGTGAGTTCAAGAACACCCAGAGGTAAACACTGAGACCTTGTCTCAAAAAAAAAAAACATATTTGAAAATGTTTGCTCATATCCCTCTAAGGATCACTTATAAAACTAATTGTTTCACCCACTTGATTTGGATAGAATCATGTCTATGTCTTTGTCATTGATGTTCCCTCTTGGGGAAGTAGCCATTCAGTATTCATGTATCCCCAAGAAAATTTCACACAAAATACCCAAAGCATATCTAGGGCTGGGTGGGAAGCTGGACATGATAAGGAACCTACAGCATTATGAGTGTTGTCTGGCTGAAATGATAGAGAACCAAGCAGAAATGCTGACAGGAAAAGATCAGCTCTGAGCACCCTCATCTGAAGGTGTTGGCTCAGGAAGATACCAGGATTATTGCTAGTTAAGTCCTGGTCTTTGGTGAAGAGGATCATGCAAGCTAATGTACATGGGTATATGGGAGATGCTCTGCAAAAAGAGACCACAATCAGATATGGTTTTGTAAACCTAGCACACAAGAAGCTGACTGAGAAAGGGGAGGAGATTTAGACCTCCCAGAGTTTCAGGAGGCTTTCTGTCAGAAACCAAAACCAAAACCAAAGAAAACCACAGTTACAGAGACCACATGTTTTGGAGCCCCACCCTTCACAGCAGTGGTAAAACAAAAGCCACTTGCCTAGAAAGAGCAGTTCCTGATTTTGCAAGGACTGCCTGTATAACATACTCTCGACAAGGAGGCACCATACTGCATAGGCAATATACTTTGTGTCTGTTCTTTTTGCAAGAGGACGAACCATCTGCAAACTTTTGGCAACTGGAAGAGGCTATGATCCCAAACCTCACATTTCTGCTTTGTCTTGGTGAGAAATGAAGTTGTGGAGAGAGAATTCTGTACTGAGAAGTAGTCTACCTCATAGTTGAACAGTAATCCATCAAGGGTGTTTCAGTAGCTCAGAAGGCATCTGGAAGTGGAAGTCCTGCTCAGGCTTCAAGGACATACACTCACAGGTAATTCTCTTGCAGGACTGAGTCTGGGCCCCAGGAACCAAGTGTTGGCAGGTGAGTGTCTTCCAAGCTTTTATAAAGTGTACATTCTCAGTGGGAATCAAAGGTCACCTCTGAAGAAAAGAGATGGAGAAGAGATGGTGTGGAGTGATGCTGGTGTTGCCTGCAAGGTCATGAGACCGATAGCTTTGATTTAAACAGAATGTCTTCTGACAAAACTTCCATTTTTTGTTGTTGTTTGTTTTTGTTTTGTTTTCAGGGGGTCTCTCCAAACCCACACTCAGAGCTGTGCCAAGTAATGTGGTAACCACTGGGGAGCAGGTAACTCTAATTTGTGAAGGCCCCTTAGATGCCCAGGAATACAAGCTCTATAAAGAAGGAAATCCAGATTTCCAGATACCAACAGCTTATGAAGACATTGAAAAAAATAACAAGATCATTATCTCCTCCATTAGCAGTCAGGATGCAGGCCAATATCGGTGTTATTATAAACACCCTAATGGCACATCAGAACACAGTGACACCCTGGAGCTCTTGGTGACAGGTGAAAGGACCCTTCCCCAACACTAGGATTTGTCTTGAGAAAATGAGCGTATTTACTGTGGGGTCCCATTGACAATTCTGGAACAGGGGTGACCAGGTTAGCAATATAAGTCCACTAAGAAGGCTTCCTCTTCTCTCCTAGGAGTCTACTCCAGCAAAGTCACCCTTTCATCCCTGCCCAGCCCTGTGGTGACCTCAGGAGGTGATGTGACTCTTCAGTGCTCCTCACAAGAGGAATACAACAGTTTCATTCTAATGAAGGAAGATCAAAAATTTTCTAGTGCCATGGCCTCACAGGACACATACACTGGTATATTCCAGGCCCTGTTCACAGTGGGTCCTGTGACTCCACAACAGAGATGGAGATTCACATGCTATGGCTATTACCTGAACAGCTTACAGCTGTGGTCAGTACCTAGTAACAGCTTAGAACTCCTGGTCACAGGCAAGGGAGCTTTAGATTTTGCTTTGAATGATAATTGGCCAGATATGAGCTCACAGAAAAGGATATATGGTGGGTTGGTGAGCTCATGCTCCTGAGCCCAATGTCACAGAACTCGGGATACAGCTGTGATTAAGGTTCAAAAACCAGGATGGACATTAAAAGTAGAAGCCA